AGAAGAAGAGGGAGAAAGAAGAAGATGGGGATAAGAAGGCTGAACAGGTGGGGACCAAGAAGAACAAGGGGAGTAAGAAGATGGGGAGCAATAAGAAGAAGAGGGAGAAAGAAGAAGATGGGGATAAGAAGAACAGGTGGGGGACTAAGAAGAACAAGGGGGGAGTAAGAAGAACAAGGGAGGAAGTAAGAAGAACACAGGGAGGAGGGGAGTAAGAAGAACACAGGGGGGGTGAAGGGGGGATGAGAAGAGCATAGGGAGGGTGGGTGAGTGTGAGAAGAGACCGCTAGGGGAGGGTGGGGGAGAGGAGAGACCACTAAGGGGCAGGGGAGAGCTCTAAGGGACAGAAGGGACAGCTCTATAGGACAGGGGGCAAGACAGTGAGCTCTTTCACACCACACACACACACACACACACACACACACAATGCATCCCTATACATACACAGAAACACACAATGCATCCCTACACACACAGAAACACAACATGCTTCCCTTACACACAGAGAAACACACACACACACACACACACACAATGCAACCCTTACACACACATGCAAACACACACACACTGCTTTTCTTACATACACACAGAAACACAATGCATCTCTTACACTCAAAGCACACACATACAGACACACACCTTGCATCCCTTATGCATACAAACACATTCACACAATGCATACCTTACACACAACCAGAAACACATAATACATCCCTTATACACAAATACACACTGCTTCCACTACACATAAACACACTGCATCACCTACACAAACTGGTATCCCTATACAGTACATACCATAAGCACACATATTAGATCCTCTACAGTAACACATAACACATCCCCTACACACTCCACTTTCTGTGAGCGAACTCATGGGTGGGTGGAACATATAAGTGGACTTATGAGTGGAGCTGCTTCCAATTCTCCCAGAACTTCAAATTTTGTGACCACAGTTACAAACAGCCTCCAGAGATCCTGTTCTACACCAGACCAGTGGAGCCAAACTGCAGCCCATCATCATCCTCATCTGGTTATAAGTAGGCAATCTAGTATATTATTCGTGACACTAATCTATTATTTACCTCACATTAAAGGGACACTATAGCTTAATGAAGTGGTTCAGGTGTCTATAGCCGGTCCCTGCAGGCTTTTTAATGTAAACACACACTGTGTGCGGCACTGGCGTTAGTTCATATGGCAGATCATATGGGTGGAGCATTGTGATGTTACATGGGGAGGCAGCAAATTTTTCTTTTGTCTAGGATGGCAAAAATCCTTGCACCGGCTCTGATCCTGGGCAGGTGCACCAGTCTACTGGTGACCCACAGGAGGGGAGTGCACTGCTTGCACTGCACTCTCCTCCTGCCCAGACCCATGTTTACCACAGTGCAAGTGCCCTCTTCCCCTAATTTACAGTGGCTCACACTGACAGCAAGCAGTAGAAACAAGAAATTCTGCAGCTGCTAGAGGAAAGTGACAGATTTGTTAGAGGGAGTGAAAATAATAATGAAGTAGACATGCTCTAACTGGAAAAATAGGATTCCACCAAGTCCTAAAGGAGTTAAAATAAATAAACTAAGAACACCCTAGAGTGCAAATATTCAGGAGCAAAGATTCGATATATTCAATAATAATATAGAATAAAAATAATAAAATATTGGTTAAATCTTAAAACGTAATCTTCTATTACTATTCAGAGGTTGAATACGCATATACATATGTTTGTATCGTCATATAATTTCAAATAAGCGTTATATTGATAAAAAGTTGCCAAATAATAGTCCTTTTTAAATTGCAAGAAAGTTGCTGTCTGAAATCTGTTGTATCATAAGTAACTATGACTCGGCATGTATAGGCATTGCCATGTAACTAGTACTTGAGTTCAGTCTACTTAAAATTTATAAGATGATACGTAGTCCAGAAAAGCAATGGAAACAATGGAAACTTAGTATAGAATAAACTAAGTTTTCAAAAATAATAATAACCTTATAATGGATTTGAAACCACTGAGGTGAAATACTGAGATAGGAGTGAAGTCTAACAAGTCTCAAGTGCAGAAAAGTATAGAACCTGTGTTCCAGACCCAGATGGATTCGGATTGTAAATTGAAGGAAAGACCCTTCTCTTCTCCCTCCTTGCAGCCGGTGAGGACGGCGTGTGAGTCCCTGTATCCTCCGCCTCCGACCTCACACCGAAAGGTGGAGCTGGAACTCACGGGGGAGGTGTCATTAGAGTTGGATACCGGGGTAAAGTAATCCACAGTGATGAATTTGGAGACCTAACTTACTCCTCCCAGATTCAACCGTCAACTGCCTTGCTTTGCCTTACGCGTTTTGTAGGGTTCGCCCTACTTCATCAGAGGCTGGTGGTCTCTCTTATTGGCCAGAGTTTATATCTTGTAAGACAATGAATATCAATAAATATCAATCAACTGGTTATTAAACTAATAGGTTTGTACAGATTATATGAACTTGTACAGACTTTGAAAAATAATTGTGTTAATTAAATACTTAAAAATGTGAAAGAAGTGAAAGTGAAGGTGAACAAAAAGTAAATAAAAAAGGGGAAATTAATTCTCATTTGATGTTGATAACATAATAATTAATGATCCTTTCTATTAAAATAAGTGACAAATTAATGATGTCATCATTAATCCAGACTATTAAATAATAATATTATGGGAGCTATCTCATATGGTATTGAGTCCCCACCTTAGTGTGAGATAAGATTAAATAAAAATGTGATAGCTGCCCAGTGAAGATATAGTTGTGTTGGTTGTACCTATAGATATAAATATAAGGGTATAACCAAAGGATAGTGAAAAATAGTTGTGAGTACAAGGTGCCTTATTAGCAACTAGTAGGGTCTTGTAAGTGATTATCATATCAGTGTTGTATTAGAAAGAAATATTACTAATAATAGATACTAAAAACGAAAACAGGAAGGAGAAACAGGAACTATTCTGATCTTACAAATGAAAAACATACTTATATATTAAATACATTAGTACATTAGATGGTAGCATACAGTTATACAATGGCAGTTAAATATTCATGCATAGAATGTATGTAACGACAACATTAAATGTTTTATGGCAATCAATTTGCGAATATTTGCAGGTCTAGTCAAATTTAAATAATATATATTACGATGTAAATAGTATATCAGAAATCAGAAATCAAAATTGAAAATCTAAAATAAGGTAGTAATCATCATAACAATAGCAAAGATATTAGCTATTGAAAAGTCCACACAGTGTCTGTGAGTTAAAATGGCCGCCATCCATTGTTCTCACCATGTGCTTCTGATACAGGAAATGGTGGCCACCCAGTAACTCCACAGTATGTCCCCAGATGGTTCTTAAAAGGGCCAGCAGCAGCACAACACAAATCCATTATGCCCAAATCATGTCTTTAAAGGGCAATACATTATTAACAGTGCATTACATTACACGCTATAACATACAATAGGAACCCCATACCGGCAACCCTTAAAGAGACAGTACAAAATAATGTCCAAGTGGCTAGGTTTGCCACACCAACTCTATTGACACTTCCCCCGTGGGTTCCAGCTCCACCTCTCTGTGTGAGGTCGGAGGCGGATGATACAGGGACTCACGCGCCGTCCTCATCGGCTGCAAGGAGGGAGAAGAGAAGGGTCTTTCCTTCAATTTACAATCCGAATCCATCCGGGTCTGGAACACAGGTTCTATACTTTTCTGCACTTGAGACTTGTTAGACTTCACTCCTACCTCAGTATTTCACCGTTATTTTTATTCGTTATTGAATTTTTTAATATTTAATAAATTACAATTTCTATTCATCGATCTGGTTTCAAATCCATTATAAGGTTATTATTATTTTTGAAAACTTAGTTTATTCTATACTAAGATTCCATTGGTTCCATTGCTTTTCTGGACTACGTATCATCTTATAAATTTTAAGTAGACTGAACTCATAAGTACTTTAGTTACACGGCAATGCCTTTACATGCTGAGTCATAGTTACTTATGATACAACAGATTTCGGACAGCGACTTTCTTGCAATTTAAAAAGGACTATTATTTGGCAACTTTTTATCAATATAACGCTTATTTGAAATTATATGACGATACAAACATATGTATATGCATATTCAACCTCTGAATAGTAATAGAAGATTACGTTTTAAGATTATACCAATTTTTTATTATTGAA